TGCTCCAAACCGGAACTCTTCACCTCCCCAAACCGCACGCCTATCTTCGCCTCATTCTCCGCCTTCCAATCCTTGTACATGAAGTTCTCCATGAACTTGCAGTCCCTGCTCACCAAGAACTTCTTGGTGAATGGGTCCCAAAGAAGCCATCCCTTGCTGTTTTGAGCCATGCCCAAGTGCACGGCCCACACCGCCTTGGCACCAAGCTTGTTGTGCCGAAGATGCTTAGGCACGAGCGCCATGCACATGCACCCGAACACCCGAAGCATATCCACCTTTGGCTTCCTTCCTAGCCACTCCACATAGGGCACCCATTTGTCTGCTCCCACATGAGTCAAGGCTCTGTTCTTGGCCACACACGCGCTCCGCACCGCATCAGGCCAGAAATAGTCGGGTAGCCCGGCTTCAATGAGCAACCCGCGTGCCGCCTCCGTGATTGTGCGGTTCGCTCGCTCGGCGATGCCGTTCATTGCAGGGGAGTATGGCATGGTGAGGGAGTGCTGAATACCATTCTTCTTCAGCCACAACCCAAACTCCTTGCTCAGGAACTCTCCCCCTCGATCGGTGCGGATTGACTTGACTAGACGGTCTTGTTGCCGCTCCACCATCGGGAACCAATCCGTCTTCAACGTTTCAGCCACGTCGCTCTTCTTGGCCAGCACGTACACCCAAGTCATGCGGCTGTAGACGTCGACAATGGTGAGAAAATACTCAGCTCCAGCAGCTCCAAGCTTCAGGGGGCCCACCACGTCCATCACCACCTCATCAAGCGGTGCCTTTGCCGTTGCCTCCGAACTAGGGAACGGAAACCGGGTGAACTTGGCTTGAATGCACGTCGGGCAGCCAAGCACCTCATCGGGCTCCCCCTTCACACGTATGCCAGCAACCATCTCATTCTTCACTAGCTGCTGCAAGATGGGCAGGGCCACATGCCCCATGCGCCGATGCAAGGTGAGCCAATCACACTCCCCCGTAGCCGAAGTTGGATTGGAGAATGCCGCGCTCGCAATAGCGCCCCACATACTCTCTCCGTAGTCCTCCTCCGCTGCTGCCTCTGGGTTCTCCTCACCCTTTTGCTGCTCCTTGGTTGCTGCACCACTCTCCTTAGGTTCACTAAACTTGCTGGTCCCTCCAGGTTTGCTCTTCTTGAGCTCATTCTCCTTAGCGCGACCGTTCGCGCCATCGTCGCTACCGACCGCTCCATCCTTGGTGCTGATGCTTGCTGCCACTTGCCTCTCCTTTGGCATAGGGACCACTGGGATCTGCCACATCTCGTTGTAGACATCCCTGTCCTCATGAAGGTCCCAAAGAATTCGATCGCCAAGCCTTGCGGTGTAGGTCTTGGCTCCCTTCGAGTTCGTGTCCATGCCGGCCTTTGCCAACCGCCGCACGGAAATCAGGTTTGCAGCAAGGCTGGGCACCCAAAGCACGTTCTTGAGGCCCACCATCTTCCCATCAGCACCCTTGAACATGGCCTTGCCCATGCCTTTCACCTCTGCTCGCTGCCCCAAAGCCGATGTGACATGCTTCACCGGTGACGGCTCGAGTTCGGTGAGCAAGTCCGGGCGAGGTGTCATGCTATAGGTAGCGCCACTATCAATCACCCAATAGTCCAGGGGGTGTAGGGTCACCTTCCCCACAGCTGCTGGCTCCTCAAAGCCTTCATCCTTCTCTGGACCAGCCGGTACTTGCGTCGACACGAAGTAGAATAGACCCGGGTATCGATCGTCGCTCGGGTCCTTGTCGTTGTCTCCGCTCTTCATGTTTGCAGCTCCGCCACCGCGACCGCCACGGCCTCCACGGCCTCGTCCTCTCCCTCCTCCTGCTCCTCTACCCTCTTGGCCTTGAGCAGGGGTCCAACCATCAGGGAGTTTGTAGCAGTCGCGCCACATATGTCCGCTCTTGTGGCAATAGTGACACTCGCCGTCGAATCGGCCGCGACCGCGTCCGTAGCTCTTGTCGTCGCTGCCGTAACCGCCACTCCTGCGGCCTCCGCCGAAGTTGCTGCCACCAAACCTTCCTCCCCCTCGTCCTCTGCCTCTTCCTCGACCATATCCACGGCCGATGCTCGCTGCCCCAGCGCCATCCGCACTCGCCAACTCACGGCGGCGGAAATCCTCTTGAAGGATAGCTCGCTTCACGTCTTCAAGCGAGAGGCGGGGCAAGTCGCGATTAAGGTTGATGATGAGCGAGGACCATGACTCTGGGAGTAAGGCCAGCAACTTGGTCTTCTTTTGGAGCTCACTGTAGTTCAAATCAGCTCCCTCAAGCCGCGTCAACAAGTCGAAGAATTTCTGCACCCCTTCTTCAACCGCTTCGTCTTCTTCAATTCGTAGTGCCGCCATTTGCCGTTCCAACACCACCGCTACCGCCGCTGTTGCAGGAGCATGTACACCCTTGAGAGCAGCCCATGCCTTTGGTCCTTTCTCTGGTTCACGCTGGAATGGCTTGATGTGACGGATCTGACTGCTCCCCAACGCTTGCCCAAGTAAGAGATAGCCTTGTGCGCTCTTCCGCACCCACGGGCTCTTCTCCGAGTCGTTCTCGGGGCGCTTCTCCGTTCCTTCCATCACCTCCAGCAGGTCATAGTGGTCAAAGATGTTCTCCATCTTGAAGGACCATTCAGCAAAGTTGTCACCGTTGAACTTGTCAAGCCCAAACACCCTAGGCTCATCCCTAGGTGGGCCAAGACATGGTTGCATGGGCGCCATGGCTGAATCACGGGGTTGGCCTTGAGCTTGAGCTTCTCCACTGCCACCAGCACCTCTGCCACCCCTTTCCTCAGGTCCAGACATTGTCGAAACTGCTCCAAGGGGCTCTGATACCACTTGTTATAGTCACAATAGGCTTGAATGTGCCTAAAACGAAAGATAGAGAGCACAGACGGATTTCTGCACAGCGGCTTCAAACGTTGATAGCGTTCTGCTCACAGCTGCAAATGACCTGATTCAAATTGGATCTGGAGCGTCTTCACGTCGTCTACACTTAGCAATTTAGATTGCACGATTTGATAAAGAATTGACGACACAGCGTCGGTTTGAACGAACGGTACTATGGCAGCCACTATAGTCTTAGAACACAAGATAGGAAGAGTTACGAGTTGGGAATGACTCCCAGCTCCTACAAACCCCAAGAGCCGAGGTACAGTGATGTGGAACAGTGCCACACTGTCCCCAACCACGAAGGGTCTCGAAACTACCCTTCACTAGGGCCTACACCAAGTGAAATGTTACACTACACAAAGTAATGTAACTATCTTCAATATCTTGAGGTGTACCCTTTTGGCAAGCTTCGAAATCACTTGAGGCTTGACACCAAGGCTCGGGCTCTTCATCACAAACTCATCCTTGAGTTCTTGATGGGTCTGCTGCACACACCTGCGACACGCCGAACGTTCGACACAGGACAAAATAGAAACCGCGCACGACAAAATAGGAACCGCGCGCGAGACACAAACGACCGCGTAACACGCGTCTAGCGATAACTCGCTATTGACTCGACACACACACTCGACATCATGACTCAACATTCACACACAATTATAAGCATGAAATATATATTTTCCCATGCCCTCATACCATTCCATACACACACACATTCACGCATACGGACAACAAGCCGAGTGCAAACCGTAGGGTTGCACCAACAGTAGTGAGTGCGCTGCTGACAGCACCAAGTAGTGAGTGCGCTGCTGACAGCACCAAGTAGTGAGTGCGCTGCTAACAGCACCAAGTAGTGAGTGCGCTGCTGACAGCACCAAGTAGTGAGTGCGCTGCTGACAGCACCAAGTAGTGAGTGCGCTGCTGACAGCACCAAGTAGTGAGTGCGCTGCTGACAGCACCAAGTAGTGAGTGCGCTGCTGACAGCACCAAGTAGCGAGTGCGCTGCTGACAGCACCAAGTAGTGAGTGCGCTGCTGACAGCACCAAGTAGTGAGTGCGCTGCTGACAGCACCAAGTAGTGAGTGCGCTGCTGACAGCACCAAGTAGTGAGTGCGCTGCTGACAGCACCAAGTAGTGAGTGCGCTGCTGACAGCACCAAGTAGTGAGTGCGCTGCTGACAGCACCAAGTAGTGAGTGCGCTGCTGACAGCACCAAGTAGTGAGTGCGCTGCTGACAGCACCAAGTAGTGAGTGCGCTGCTGACAGCACCAAGTAGTGAGTGCGCTGCTGACAGCACCAAGTAGTGAGTGCGCTGCTGACAGCACCAAGTAGTGAGTGCGCTGCTGACACCACCAAGTAGTGAGGGCGTCGCTATATCGAGACGGGGCTCTTACTGAGGCAGGGATTAGTGAGAGAGCGCAGCAGTGGTTTGGTTTCAACATGAGCACCAAGTAGTCATTTCGCTGCTGACACCACCAGGTAGTGAGTGCGCTGCTAACGAGTGCCCACATAACGCTTGTGATCATATTGAGACAGGGCTTACAGTAGTAAGAGACAGCAGCAGTGTTTTTAACATGAGCAGACAGCGGGGAGTGGAGAGTGGGGAGTGGAGAGTGGAGAGTGGGGAGTGGAGAGTGGAGAGTGGGGAGTGGAGAGTGGAGAGTGGAGAGTGGAGAGCAGAAAGCGAGGCACTGAGTGTGCAGCAAGTGCACAGAGAGCATCCACAGGGACAACCAACCCTGTGCCATGGAGTTGCATGGGCCGCCATTAATTTTCAAACAATCTGGCCTCTCACCCTCCGCCTATGCCCTCCCCCTCCCCCTCCCACTCTCTGTCCCCCGATCCCCCCCTTTCTCTCACTCCTTGCCCGGGGAGTGAGCATCTTTTAGTCAACCCAAAAGTCCACAGGGACAGCTGTGCCGTGCGTCACATAGCTGTGCCCTCCGGTGGGGCACCCCCGCTGCTGGCCTTCTACTCCCTCCCCCTCTCCGTCCCCCAATCGCATCCGTTTTTCCCCACTGGCATGCAGCGAATGGGCGGTGAACATCCACCGGGACAGGCATGCCTCATGTGTGGGACTTTTGAGTCGACTCAAAAGTCACCTCGTCACCGGGACAGCTATGCGTCCTACGTGGGCCACCACCCGCTGCTGGCCTTTCTTGCCTCTCACTCCACTGATTTCCATCTCCCCTCCCTCCCCCTTTCCATCGGCCATTGCCTCCCCCCACTACCCCCTCTCCTACGCGGGACATCACCCGCTGCTGGCCTTCTTTGCCGTGGCGGAGAATGAGAGCATCGGCCGCGAGCGATACAACTTCATGCAGGTGAGGAGGGGGGGGGGAGGGGTGGGGGTGGGGGGGTGGGGGGGGGGGGGGGGGTGGGGGGGGAGGGGGTGTGTGAACCGGAGAGTGATGCTGGCAGGGGGTGTTGACAATGGGGCATCGGCCGTGAGCGATACAACTCCAGGCAGATTTCAGGGTTGCTGTTGCAGGTGCTGCTGTAGCATGATGCCACCATGCCATCATGTTGCTGGTGCTGTAGCATGATGCCACCATGCCATCATGTTGCTGGTGCTGTAGCATGATGCCACCATGCCATCATGTTGCTGGTGCTGTAGCATGATGCCACCATGCCATCATGTTGCTGGTGCTGTAGCATGATGCCACCATGCCATCATGTTGCAGGTGAGCAGCATGAGTGCAGGTTGCATGGTGGCATGGTCATGTGTTATTAGTGAAAGTGCCAGCTATCGTATGCTGTTGGTAAATGTTCGATGCACATGCTTTTCGGAATATTCTTGTTGACTTGCACAGTCTGGTTGGAGGGAAGAGAGGGGGGGGTGGGGGGGGGGGGGGGAGGTGGGGGGGGGAGGGGAGACATTTCCGTTTGCCCGAGCTCATTCCCCGATTCCCTTCCCTCTGCCCCATGCACTCCTCCACCCCTGCACTCTTCCTCAGCGCGTGCTGCTGCCATGTGGATTGCCGCCAGACCGAGATGAGGAGCGAGGTGAGGTGAGGGGACTGGCACTGCATCAGTGGTTCTTGCGGTCGTGAAGTGTGTGCTGCAGTAGGCTGGCCCATTCCTGTAGTGCTGTGCGCGCCTGTGCCGTGAAATTGGCACTGTCGTACGGATTGGGGGATTTATAAAAAACGTATTGCGAGGCATATTTTTACCTCAATAGTGCATATTGTGTATAATTTGCAAGATACGCGTCATTATTACGTACAATCTGCAGATTATTGTGTGCTGTTTGAGAGAATAGAAGCATGGGAGCAGAGAAGCAAAAGAGCATGGGAGCATGGGAGGATGGGAGGATGGGAGGATGGGAGGATGGGAGGATGGGAGGATGGGAGGATGGGAGGATGGGAGGATGGGTGGATGGGAGGATGGGAGGATGGGAGGATGGGAGGATGGGAGGATGGGAGGATGGGAGGATGGGAGGATGGGAGGATGGGAGGATGGGAGGATGGGAGGATGGGAGGAAGGGGCGCCAGAGTGCAGCTGGCCGTGTGGGTGTGTTGTGTTGTGGAGGGCGCAACTGAAGCAGTGTGTGTCTCACAGCACAGCACCGTGTGTTGTGTCACTGCCCCAGCTTGTGTGGTGTGCTGGCGGGCGGAAGAACCGCCTGGGGCACCGGTGCAGGCATAATGCCAGGCAGACCTGACCGCTGCGGGGCAGCCTTTAGAGATTAAGCAGGAGTTAATTAATCACCTAGCAGCAGTTAGTCACATGCTTTACGGGTGTGTATAATTAAGTCATTGCATTTATTGGTTGGCACACAGTGCAATGCATTAGCAGCCCAGTGAAACGCCTACAGTGACAATGAATTACCTAGGTAGAAGCAGCATGGCATGTATGGTGTGTCCTCACAGCGACAACATAGTACAGGCACGTGCACAGCAGCAGCAGCAGCAGCAGCAGCAGCAGCAGCCCACTGGAACATTTACACTGGCAGGAGGTGTCCAATTCACTTCCAATAAGAGAAGCAGCATGGCACGGATGGTGTGTACTGACAGGGACAAAGAAGTGTAGGCACGTGCCACGTGCACACCAGCAGCAGCAGCAGCAGCAGCTGCCCACTCACACCCAAACACTCTGCCCTACGCCTCTCCCACGCAAGCAGCATCCCAATCCTCACCAAGTTCTGCCTGTCCGCCCCCTCCTTCTCTTTCCTCCCCTTGCTGCTCACCCTCCCTTCATCACCTCACTCCCTCCCTCCACCCCTCTCCCCCAGCCTCTCCCCCCAGCCTCTCCCCCCAGCCTCTCCCCCCAGCCTCTCCATCATTCTCTTCCCCAACCTTCCCCATCCGGTCGCCCTTCCCTCCCTCTTTACGTCCCTCCTCACATTCTTCCTCTCCTCCCTTGTTTCCTCTTGTTCCTCATCTCACCCTCTCCCACCTTATCGTCCTCCCCAACAACTCCTCACCCGCACCTTCCGCTTCCTCCTCACACTCCCCGTCTCGCTCCCTCTGCGATTGCCACTGTGAACCCAAGCCATCCCCCCCTCGTCTGTTCTCTCTCTGTGCGTCCATCCCGCATTCCCCTTCGCCCCCCTCGACTGCTGCTGCTCCCTCCAACCCGCCTCCCACCGCACCTCCCCTTTCTGCCCCCCTCTCACCTTCCACGGCCTCACCTCCCTCTGTCTCCCCGCCCTCTCCCCCCTCCCCGCCCCCCCTCCCGCACTGCACTTGACTGTCTCTGGGCATCGTCCCCACGTACGATCCCCCTTCGCCCCCTTCGCGACGATCCCGCTCCACGTGAACGCGCCGCCCGCACACTCCCACCTCCAAGTCCTCTCCCACCGCCCCGCACCCGCGCACGTCCACGTGGCGCAGCCCCCGCGCGTGCGCCAGTCCCGCGGGCAGCTCCGCCAGCACAGAGCAGCCTCTCAGCAGCAGGGAGTGCAGCGCGGGGAGGGTCGCGAGGTCGGGGGGGAGCGCGGAGAGAGACGAGCAGGACGAGAGCTTGAGGACGCGGAGGGCGGGCAGGTGGGAGAGCGAGGCGGGGAGGCGGGAGAAGGCGCGGCAGTTGCAGACGGAGAGGCGCGCGAGGCGAGGCAGCGGGCCGAAGTCGTCAGGGAGGTGCGTGAGCAGCGGGCAGAATGCGATGTCGAGCGACTCGAGCGCGGGGAGGCGCGGGAGGGACGCGGGGAGGCGGGCGAGCGCGGAGCAGTCTTTGAGCGAGAGCCGCTTGAGGGCGGGCAGCTGGCCGATGGCGTCGGGGAGGGCGCGGAGGGCGGGGCAGTTGGCGAGGGAGAGCGTGTGGAGGCGGGGGAGGGCGCAGAGGGACGCGGGGAGCGCGGCGAGGCGGGGGCAGTCGGAGACGAGCAGCGCTTCCAGGCGGGTCAGCCCGCTCAGAGTGTCTGGGAGGGACGTGATCGACGCGCTCGCGATAATCAGCGTCTTTAGGCGTCCCAGCTGGCCCATGGAATCCGGCAGCGCGGTGAGCGCGCCCAGCGACGCGGGGAGGCTCTGCAGCGCGGGGCAGTCGTCGAGCTCCAGCGACTCGAGCGCCGCCAGCTGGCCCAGGGATTCGGGAAGCGCGGCGAGCTCGTGCGCGCCGGTTATTTTGAGCGTGCGGAGGGCGGAGAGCGCGGAGAGCGCGGGGGGGAGGCGCTTGACGTTGCGCAGGCGGAGGAGCGAGAGGGAGGTGAGCGCGGTGAGGCGGCAGACTTCGGCCGGCAAGGAGTAGAGCGCGGGGAGGTCAACGAGCGTGAGCGCGCGCAGCGAGGGCGCGAGAGCGGGGAGCACGGGGGAAAAATGGGTGAAGAGGTAGCAGCATTCGAGGGAGAAAGACTGCAGCGGCGCGAGGCGCGCGACGGGCTGGCGATGTCCATCCGCCTCCGCGCCGCCCCCCATCAGCGAAGCAAGGCACGACACGTTCTTCAGCACCACGTGCGCCAGTCGCGGCAGCGCAAGCAGCGTGGGCGGCAGCGCTCTCACCGACTTGCACGGCGCCAGCACCAGCCGCTCCAGGGACGTCAGCATCTCGATCGACGCGGGCAGCTCGGTGATCGGCGCGTCGACGATCTCGAGCTCGCGGAGGGCTGACGCCGCGCCGATGTCGGGGAGCGCGCGGAGGCTGCGGCAGCGGCGGACGATGAGGACCGCGAGGGAATCGAGGGAGACGGGCGGAAGGCGGTCCCCGTGGACGTTCTCCAGGCGCAACTCTTCCAGCTTGCGCCAGTCCGCGCCCACACTGGGCAGCGCGCAGCTGATGTTGCGCAGGTCCAGGCGGCGCAGCTCCTTGAGCGCGCCGATGCTCTCCGGAATCCCCTCCAGGCGGTACCACCCGTGTATCTCCAGCGCTGTCAGCGCGCTCAGCGCGCCGAGCTGCGCGGGCAGCTGGTGCATCACGCGGCAGTCTGTCACGCAGAGGCGGGAGAGCCGCGTGAGCTGCGTGACGGACGCGGGGAGGCTCCGCAACTCGGGGCAGCTGACGCGGAGCTCCTCCAGCGCGCGCAGCGTGCCGAGCGCGTCGGGAAGAACGTTAAGGCGCGGCATGCTGAGCTTCAGCACGCGAAGCGACGAGAGCGATGCGAGCGAGGAAGGAAGCTTCGTCATGTCGCCGAGGCTGCGCTCGAGGCTGAGCTCCTCGAGGCGCGAGGCGCCGAGCAGGAAGCGGCCAAGGCAGGGGAGCGTGATGCGGAAGTGCGGCACGCCGGTGTACCGCGGCTCGTCCAGGCGCAGGTTAGAGAGCTGCGGAGAGGCGGAGGGCAGCGCTCTCAGGAACTCGTCGTTGAGGAAGTCGACGCTCTTGTAGTCTAGCGTGAGTGAAGTCACGTTGGGGAATTTCGCCAAGCCGCGCAGCAGCTCGCCCGCGTGGAGGTTGCGCTCGGCGCTGACGTGGACGCCCTGCTGCAAGTGTTGCGCCAGGTGCAGCCACCGGCGGCACACGAGCGCATGGTGCATCGCCTTGCTGGAAGAGGCGCGCTCGAGAACTGCAGAGAGCACGTCGTCGGGCAAACTGTTGATGATATCCTCGCCCGGCTCGAGCGCGCCTGTCATTGGTTCCAGATCTCGCGGCTCTTCTGTCTCGCGGGCATCAGGCGGTGCGTCCATGGCTTCTGCGTAAAGAACGATTCTGCGCGATGTGGGGCTGCTGCAGACGAACGAAGATACGCCTATGACTGGGATGAGGAGGAGCAGGAAGCACGGCAAGATTAATCGTGCTCGGAAAAGCATGGGTGGAGGTGCTGGGATGGGAGGGGAAGAGTCGAATCAAACAGGTACTTGGGCAGTCAGTGCGTCGAGCCCTACCTTGGGCAGGTTTTTCCCGAGCCCACATTCAAGTTTCCCCATGCGACTCGCAATCTCAGAAGGTTTGTGTCGGAACGAGTCGCGTTTACCACGCGATTCGAACGCTCTGGACACCTGGGTTCTGGAGGGAAATTGCAGCGATGACGCGTTTTTACGTTCAGGTTTTGTACTTGCGCAGCAATCATCAACACTACATGTTCCTACAATATGGAATTCTGTTAGGAAATTTTCAAATTCCTTATTGCACAACCGACTTCACCGCGTATAACACTGTTCACAGACTTTGCCGTTTTTCGCCCGTTACCGGTCAACGGCGTTTGCAACTTCGCGCACTAGTTTTGTCAAATCACTCATTACTGTACAAGGCCAAACCTCGCTGCTAGCATAGCATGGAATAGCCCGCACCTCCGCATTTTCGTTTGAATACCCCGGATATATGACCCCATTGTCTTTACAGGATCTCACAAAAACAATGGGGAAGGGGAGGGGGGGGGGGGGGGTCTTAACAATAGGCACATATTTTATAGGACCCTGGTCTTAACATAAGAAAACTTTTATCACATGTGTTTTTGAAGCCAGACTTCTGAATGATATGTGCTCCGTTTTTAGTAGCAAAAACAAAAAAAAAGCACGAAATGAACTCCACTATCGCCACATCATCAATCAATCATGCTAAGTGCCTTCTCCTATTGGCCACATATCGTGGTTACCACATCTTAATCTTTCGGGGAGGGCACTATGTGTTGGGCCCTATCAGAATCCCAGTCATTAGACCACTGGGATAAAATGGCTTGTTTCAGTAGCGGGTCAGTGCGCCCATAACCCCCCAGGCAAACATGTCTGTAACCCCCCTAGGATCATTCGAGGATCTCACAGTGCAGCTCTACTTACACCCCCCCACACTGGGAGGTCCAGGACTCAGCACGGCGGCAACGGCTTGCATGTGCATACACCGAGATTCGAACCCGAGACCGCTCTGATACCATGTCAGAATCCCATTAGCTCGCCAAAGTCCTGCCGAAGCAGATCCGCGAGTGGCGCAGCTTGAAAGTGCGCCTCGAAGTCGCGGCTGGCTGTCGCTGTCGCATTGATGGTGGAGGTTGAAAGCCCATGTGGTCGTTGATGGAGAAGGCGGTCTACCGCTAGTTCCTTTCAGACCATGCGAAAGGTGTCAGAATGTTATATTGTTCTAGTCTGCAGTGGGGTACTCCATAGTGAGTACAGCCCTATTAGGGTCTGCTATATGTACTCAACTGCCTGCTAGTGAAACTCCTCTTTCCTGTTCTTACTTTCTGCTTACTATTTCTGACATGCTATCAAAGCGAGTACGCTCTTGGCCTGTGGGCCCACCTGCTTCCGCTGCTATCCTGTCTATCGCGCGCCCCGTGGCGCGCGACGTTTTTTTCTTCCCGCCACGCGCTCGGGGCGCATGGCGGTTTTCTGCCCGCCGCGCGCTCGGGGCACGCGGCGGTTTACTGCCTCACGCGGTGCCCCGGGGGCCCGCGCGCTGCCCTGCCCGTCGCCCGTCGCCCGTCGAGGCGCCCTGGGGGCCCGCGCGTCCCCCCCCCCTCCCGTCGCCCGTCGCGGCGCCCTGGGGGGCCGCGCGTCGCCCTGCCCGTCGCCCGTCGCGGAGCCCTGGGGGCCCGCGCGCGTCGCCCCCCCTCCCGTCGCCCGTCGCGGCTCCCTGGGGGCCCGCGCGCCGCCCTGCCCGTCGCCCGTCGCGACGCCCTGGGGGACCGCGCGTCGCCCTGCCCGTCGCCCGTCGCGGCGCCCTGGGGGCCAGCGCGTCGCCCCTCCCGTCGCCCGTCGCGGCGCCCTGGGGGCCCGCGCGTCGCCCCCTCCCGTCGCTCGTCGAGGCGCCCTGGGGGCCCGCGCGCCGCCCCGCTTCCGCTCACACGCCGCCCCAGCTGCTGCCCGCGTTTCTGCCCTGCGTTGGGGGTATGGGGGTGGCGGGTATGGGGGTGGCGGGTGTGTGAGCCATCCCCTGCTCCTCCTCCTCCTCCGTCTCCCACTGCTGCAGCTGCCGCTGAGGGGGGTGGGTGTGTGGGAGCCGAGGGAGTGACGTTAGGGGGGTGACGTGGGAGTGGAGCTAGGGGTGCAGAAAAGGGGTGTGTGCAAGGGGTGTGGGACAGTTGGGGGAGGTTGGGCGGAGGTAGCCGTCGTGTCGCCAGCAGCGCCAGTAGTCCGGAGGCTACAATCTTCGGTAGCCCAGCGAGCCTGCTGAGCCAGTTGCCCGTGGGTCCGTTGCTCCTGCCGCTCAGAGTTAGCCGCAGAGCCAGTTACTCCTGTTGTCCGGGGTGTTAGAATGTAGAACTGAACGAGAATGTGTGAAACTAGGCAGCAGGGTGATACAAGTAGGAAACCCTAGCAATGTTGTACCCCCTAAGGCTAAACCCACTATAGCCTACACAATATGAACATGTATAATGTTTGACACGGGGCCCTTGCTTCGGTAGCCACCGTGCACGCCGCTCCTGTTGCCCGTGTGTCTGCGGCTTCACCCGTCGCCTCCTATCTCCACTCCTCTCACAGTCCCTCCTCCTCCTCACTTGCCCTCTGTGACTGCCTCTAGCTTTGCTTGTACTGGAGAACCTGCTCTGTGACTGCTTGCTATGCTGATTATACCCCACTTTGACTATGGGGGTGTGTCAGAATGTTATATTGTTCTAGTCTACAGTGGGGTACTCCATAGTGAGTACAACCCTGTTAGGGTTTGCTATATGTACTCAACTGCCTGCTAGTGAAACTCCTCTTTCCTGTTCTTACTTTCTGCTTACTGTTTCTGACAAAAGGACTGCCAATATCCGTGAGCATGCTGCAGATATGGGCGACGACCTTCATGAAGCATCGCCACCCCCAGGAAAGGTGGCGCTCGTCCCAGCGTTGGTCGAAGCATTGAGAAAGCTTGGCAATTGCATCAAGATTGAACACAAGCTAGTGCATGCTAATATCACTAGCTAAGATATACCCTATCTAAGTGGCATTAGCAAGGCATTTTACGCTGGGGTGGGTGGTGGGAATGTTGAGTGAGCCGTTTGAAAATAGAGAAACGTGGGTGGAGGGAAATGAACTCCAACCCACGGTTTTTGTAGTTGGAGAAGGGCGTTTAGCGCGCTTCGACGATGCCAATTGTGCAGTACCAGCAGCTTCGCTTTCACAATACACAATTAAAAAAAAAACACAATGTGTGTTTAAAATTTATAATATTGAGAAAGCTTGCTTTCTTTTTTCTGATCAATTGGCATCGTTCTCATTACAACTGGTGTCTCTGAGACATGGGCAGCGGGGGCCTCCGGTTGCGTACGAGTGCCTCTGCGTGTTGTGCCGAGGACACCGCATGCGTCGGATCTTCTAGGTTGCGGGAGGCTTTGATGAGAGGCTCGACGTATGGCGTGACATACATCTCCTTAGCTGTATCGCTTCGCCATCTGCCCAGCCGTTTGAAGACTCTGTCTGGCACTCTAATGTTGGCTGCTACTATGGCCGCGCCTTTGCGGAAAGAGTGAGTGCCGAGTTGCAGCTCTCCAAGGCCACCTTTGCGAAGGCTTCCTTACACCAGTTCCGAATTGGAGTGTATGAAGGTGGCCTTGCCTGGCCCTTGCTGGTTGAAGCATGGCCGAAGACACGAATCAGCGGTCCCTCCGATTGAGGGCCATAGCCGGCGAGTTGGATGAAGCGTCGGGTGCAGCGCGCTGGGCAAGGGGTCTGCCGTTGCTGCAATGGGTATCCATGTCCCATGACCGGCCTGATCAGTCTTGGAGTGTGGTATGAGGATCCACATGACCTCTTTGTCGAATTGGATGTCTTGCATTTTATGGCTACTAAGTCGGAGTATCGCAGAAATCCTGAGTACATGAGGATGGGGATCAACCTTGTTAGAAACTAGAAGTGAACGAGAATGTGTGAAACTAGGCAGCAGGGTGATACAAGTAGGAAACCCTAGCAATGTTGTACCCCCTAAGGCTAAACCCACTATAGCCTACACAATAGGAACATGTATAATGTTTGACACACCCCCATAGGCTAAGTGGGAGACAACCAGATGGTCACAAGACCAGTCAAAGCAAAGCAAAGCAAGCTCAGGGTGGATCTCAAGGAAACCACACAAATTCCGAGGACAAGCAAGCGGTCACAAGACCAGTTCACATGCAGTTTGATAATATAACAAGAGGTACAGTGATCACAACCTAGCAAGTGTAAGCATGCAGGTATATATATATACAGAGAGATCACAGTACAAGCAGAGTCAAGAAGTAAGCAAGTGAGGCACAGTAGGCACAAGGCCTAGAACAGTACAGAAACGCTGATGGTCACAAGGCTGAAGCGCCTTGGTGAACACATCAGCAGTGTTGGCCCGAGTGGCCACGTAAGCAAGACGAAGCTGACCACGCTGCTGCAGCTCTCGAGCAAGGAATTAGCGCAGAGCGATGTGCTTCGTTCTGTGCTCCAGTCTGTGCTCCTGACACAAGGCAATGGTGGCCTTGTTGTCGACGTACAGCACTAGAGGAGAACGAGGCCGCTCTCCCAGGTCGGCCAGCAGGTAGGTGAGCCAGCGTAACTCCTGTGCAGCCATGGCTGTGGCGTAGATCTCAGCCTCACAACTGGAGCTGAGAACTGACGACGAGCGTGTAGAACGCCAAGAAACTGAACCAGAGCCAAGGCTGAAGGTGTAACCCTGAGACGACCGCTGCATAGCCTGGTCGTCAGCCCAAGAAGCGTCTGAGTGTCCAGTGAGGACAACGTCTCTCCGTCCTCCAAGCACAAGCCCCATGCCCGACGTACTGCACAAGTAGCGCAACACCCTCTTAGCGGCATCCATGTGCTCCTTCCGGTGACGGCCAGGAGCGGCATAGCGTGCTAGGATGCTAAGAGGGTATGCAAGGTCAGGTCGAGTGCAGGTCATCAGGTACATGAGGCAGCCCACA